TCAAAGGGTGTGCATGCAACCTGAGGATTGCTGGAGAGTATGAAAATTACACACGAACAGACAGTAAGTTACATTAAATTATTTCATCATGTAAGATTATTCTCAAAATTTAAAGAGGAAGAGATATTTTTAAAAACAATAGCTTAAACTACTAAGAAATGATTTTTGTGATGGTTGAGAACATAAACTCACACCTCAATATAGGAAATCTTTGCTTATGGTTGCTTCATAAAAAAATTGGGCAGTCCTAATCTTGACTATATAGTTCTTCCAAAATAATAAAAAATAACTTCTGCAGGTTTTCCGATACCGTTACACCATTGATCTTACAAGACTTCAAATAGTGATTATCATGAATATGGTTTTGGGCCCAACTCTGTTTATTTTTTCAGTCACCTCAGTTATCAATATTAACAATTTTAAATACGAAAAAACTATAATCTACTTAAACAGATAATAAATAAAATAAATAGACCATCAATTTGGGTTAAATACCAATCTAATGCATTTACCTAGCACTGTCATAAATATTGTTGCAAGGAAATATATACAGATTTCAATAGAAAATTATTTATTTTTTTAAAATAAAAAGTATATATAGTAAAAAAAAAAGAAATTACTCAAAATATCTCCCTTTTGCCTTGACACAGGCATTTAATCTCGGTGGCCAGTCATCAATAGCAACACACAGCACTTCTTGAGGAAAGCGCTCAACTGCTCGAAACAGAGATTGTTTGAGGCTTTCCAAGTTAGAGTGTGCTCTGTGGCATGCCATTCTCTCCAGTTCGGACCAAAGCCGATAAGTGGTGGGTTCAGTGGCAAATCTAGTGGGTTCAGATAAGGACTTCTTGAGGGCCAATTTGAGGCAGAGATGAACTCTGAAATGTTCTTTTGCAGCCACTGCTGATTTGACCTGGTCTTGTGAGCTGGAGCAGAATCTTGCTGGAAAAACCAATGACTTCCAGCAAACAGAATATCATTTAGAGGCTTGACATGATCCAAAATGGTCCTGATAGTTTTTAGTGGCCGTTTCAACTCCTTTTTCACAAAAATGGAGCTTTTTGGTGCCATCAAAGCAAACCATCACTGAGGAAGGGTGATGACCTCTTTTCATTGTTCCAATGACTTCTTGGGCTTCTTTAGAACAGTGTGTGTACACTCTATTATTTTGGCGATTAAATTTTTCTTCAATTGTAAAAATTTTCTCATCGCTAAACAAAATCTTTTGATGAAGACCATTGGAGACATTGATCTGACTGAGATTCCCATTTCCTAAGACATGATTTGTTGTTTTCGAATGTGATTTCTTCTGATTCGAACAGCCACTGCCCTCACTGCATTTACTGTTCTTAAAGTGCGGGGTCCGGTCAAGGTCTGTCACATACAGATAGGGTCACATTATATCTATTTATAGAGCGGTACACGAACATACGGCTCGTATCCAAAGGTTTCAAGGTGTTGAAAATCTCTGACCTACATTTTCCAACTTTGTGTAAGGCAATCACAGCTATTCGATTTTCTTTATTACCTCACTCCATATTAACTGAGTGAAAGAAAAATACAAACTAATTAGGATTATTAATCTGACTAGTAAAAAAAATAACCTGATAGAGGTAAGGATTATCTAAATTGAATCTTCCTTTTTGACAGAGCACCCCAACTATTCTTCTCTTCATTATCCACGACAGTCAACCAATTACCAATTATGGATTATCTAAATTATGTCCACAGATGTAAACTAAGTTCAACTTTTGTAACAGTATTAATGGCAGAACTAGGTATAAAAAAAATCTTTCATATTGTTAATTAATGCAATGCACAGTAACAAAATGTTCAGATGGTATGATTTTTTCATTAAAAATTGAAACAATTTTTTAAAAACTCTACTAATTCTCAAATTTTTTTTAGTCGGGTCAATATTGAAATTAGATTCATCGAAAAAAAAAAATTAAATTATTTTAAACCTGAAATATGAAACTCTTTTTCAGTTGAAATGATTTTTTCTTAATACTCTTTCATATACCTAGCTTCTTTTAGAATTCTTATATTTGAAGGATGAACTTGCTTTCCTCTTTCTCTGGATAACTTTCAGCAAATCTGAGGTGTATTCATTGAGAGCTTTTTTTTAATTTTCTGAAATACAATACAGGGATGTCCAGAAGAGTGCGCAAGTTGTGCCATCAAGATTTTTGAGGGGAGCACATTTCGACAGGACTATAAATTTTCAAAAAGATAAAAGTTTCACACTAGAAGACAAGGAGAAGCATGGGACAGACTGCAGAGTGTGTAATTTTATATAATCTATGATCTTTTTAACTCTACCTTTGTTTGCACTGGTTTTAAGAAAAGAGAGTAACAAAATATTTTGGGAGTAGAGCGAGAAGGTTTATTCGCTATCGACCGTGGGGGGATGGGTATCCCTGATAGAATATAAAATGCAATTTGTATATCAGATTGCATAATGATAATACGGTATACAATTCTCACTGGGTTAACACTCAATAATAACAGCCCATGCAATACCACTGCTGCTGAAAAACCCATATGCCAGAAATGGCTAGGTAGGGTGAAAGAAAAATAAGGGTTAACACTCATGAACTTGAAGCCAGCAGAACTTTGTAACTTTATCTGATCCTTGCGCTAGTACCTTCAATATATATCCCGCTGTGGTAATTATATTTCAACCAACCATCCCACCAATTTTTGCAGGCACTTAATCCTTCATTATAATTAAAAATAATGAAAAATTATTTGTTGAATTTTAAAAGTTATTTGACACAAATAATTACTGTAAACACTAATATAAGGGCACAAACATGTTTTACTGGTACAACATTAGCAGTTGGTTGTAAAGAGATTAAGACTCTAAATAGTGTGAAAGAAAATTATGAACAGCTTTTAAGGAAAACAAATAATAAATATTTTGTTTTTTATGCCCTACTCCAACTAGAGTAGGAAAATAGGGTTATTTTACTGGAGTGACTGACCCTTTTCTAACCAGAACGAGAAGCCTGAAATATATGTATGTAAAACAAAAATACTGGGAATTGTCATTTTTTAAATAATAATAATAAAAGGCTTAGCAAACCCAAAGGTTCGATGCTGACACCACCAATTACTGTTTAAACATCTTCCTCCACCGGTCGCTGTCCAAATCCAGTACCTTCAGATCAGCCTTAACGCTATCTGCCTACCTTTGCTTTGGTCTACCCCTCCGAGGTTTGTCAGTCAGTATAGTGTAACCATCTGAACTGTTCGGTCAACTCATCCTTCTTCGGACCGAATATTCTACACAATACTTCATTTTCAAAAACCTTATGTAGAATTCTTAATTGAATGTGTAAGGAAAAATATTATATTTTTCTTTCCAACTCGGACTGGATCAACTTTGCTATTTTTTAAAAATATTATAAATGCTATATGTATATATTTTTAAATGTCATAAGGAAAACGATGCAAGGCAAGTTGCTGACTGAGTTGAGCTCTACTATGCAAATGGTTGCCGACCCTCTTACTACGCTCTGCTGCACTTTCAGTGGCCAGTCAACCTTGCACTTCTTCCCGCCTCTAAAACTCTTTACAACTCGATTTTTGGGTAGTATTTAGCTCTCTTAGCAACGCAATTTTAATCTCATTTTGCCTTTTAAGGTTCTTTTTATTTTTGGAGGAATAAATAACATATCAGATGAATATGGAGACTGGGGCATCATTACTATGTTGTTTTTAAATCATTTCATTCATGAACAAGCAAGTTTGTACAGTTCATTATTGTAGAGCAAAAGCCATAAATTGTTTTGCCCCAATTCATCAGATTGTGATTCGACAGTTGTTAATAACATTTCTTTCACTTTTTCATCAGTTGTTGAGGTGCCAGGGTGTCCTGAACGCTTATTAGTGATAATTATCACTAATATCTTTATAGCCAACATAGAAATGCTTGTGCCACTCGTAAATCCTTGTTTTACCCATAGAGGACTCACCAAAAGCAGTGGCCAACTTTTTAAAGGCTTTGATACATTTCGTTTTTATATAAAAATTTAATGCAAATTCTCCAAACCTTTTTTAAACAAACCAAAAATTGACACACACAAGTAACCACACCTGACTTCCTTCACAATTGATGAGAGACTAACGACCCAATTTGGCTACTAATTAATGTTCAGATGGATTTAAGACATGTTTACCAACTTAACTTTTTTTTTTTTTTTATTGTTTTATTGAGTATTAATACGGTCTGCCACACTGAAGGACATTGGTACTAGGACTATAGTATTCATTCACACAATCCAAATTAACTAAGACAAATTGTTTGAATCCAACTAATAAAATCCGCAAAATATATATTTTCCCATTATTTTTTTTAAACTCCCCCTTTTTGTGGATTTGCCAACCTCCACAGAGCAGATTTAAACTAGTGATACATCTGGCATGAGAATAATAAGGTATAGGATCCACCATAGCATATCTTTTGAAATTAAAAAAAAAAAAAAAAAAGCTCAATTTACTGATCTGCATAAAACAACAAAAGCATTCTGTTATGAGAAAAGAAACAAATTCAATAATCAATATACGAATATACTGTATATTATTAGATATTGTAAATTTAAATTGTAATCAGTTTATTTTTAAAAATTGAGTTAAACGAAATCAAGTCAATTTCTAGATATATATTTCAAGCTTTCAGACGTTTTATGCTAAGCCTAAAAAAGCTGTTTTAATTTAAATTCTCATAATTCAAGGGATCATACAGAGAAGTATTGCTTTAAATGATTAAAAGGTTAAATTAAATTTACAACTACGCTTATTTACTTTTAAGGAGTCAAGAGTAAATAAATTTAAAAAACTAGTAACAATTAAGACTATGATTAACTATTGTCCTGAGTTCTGAAGATTATTATTATGGGACAACTGATCAATTAATCATTAGAATCTAATGCTAGATAAGGGATTCCAGGGATTGTCAGGTTATCAGATAATAATATTAAGTATAATAAACAACTGTTAAGTACCACTCAATACTCAATGTTTTATTTAACAACTTTCTTACATTAAATTCCAAGTTATCATTCTGAATACCCAAAAAGTCTATTTTTCTATCATTTACAATGAAATTTTAAAGGAAAAATACACTTGCTTGGATAGTTCACTTCTGTCTGTCTAAAATAATCATACAATATATACATACATATTTTATAGTGTTGGTTAATAAAAAAATAATAAACTTCTACTTCTATTAATTAGTTTTTTGAACTTTCTTGGAATTATCTTTAGAAGGGCTGCCTTTACGTTTTCGATGATTATTGAATGGTCGACCTGTAATATTTAAATTTAATTTAGAATACACTAAGATAATACTAAACATATTTTTAAAAATATATTACTTATAACATAACTAATATAATTAGGAACTCAGCTATCTCTATATATTTAATTTGAAATAGTGTTTATTACCTCGTCTAGCTTTATTTCGTGACCTCCCAACTAATTTCTTCTTGTCAGCTAAGCACTTAGCTAAAAATGTCTCTTCTTCGTCTCCTTCAATGACCCTTAAATCTGCTTTCACTTCACTATTTATCTCTAACACACCGCCTTTAACCAAACCTGCCAACTGAATAAATGATTATTTAACATTGAGCATTGCTTTATAAATAAATTAAATAAATAAATGTTGATGCCTAACCTCTAATGCAGCACCCTCAGCATCTAATCTAAGCCAAGCTTCATCTTGACCTGTGCTGAATTCAACAAAACCAACCCCAACACCAAGTTTTTCAACTGCCGCTTTCAGATCATCACGTCTTAATTCATTCTTCTCTCCAAGACCTTTTAATTGAACAACTGAACCTCTAGGAAATTCCCTTTTCTCTTCTTTATTGCCATCTTCTTCTTCATTCTTATTATCTTCACTCCCATCCTCAGTTTTAGATTCTCCATCTTCATCCTATAGGAGGAAAAAAAAGTTTTAAAGGAGAAAACAGAAGGTTCACAGTTCACAGAGCACTAATACTTATTACCAACTATTTCTTGAGTTCTTTTAAAGGAATAATAAAAACAAAACTAAACAACTTAAATATTGATCTGTCAACTGTTTGTCCTTATCATACATACATAATCATTAAACATTTTTTTATTTATAATTTTGTCAAATATTTTCATTTTTCATCTTTTAAGGCTCGGTTGTACCAACAGCCGTGATTAACTGACTAATGTTAAAATTTGTGTCCAGTTGCTCCAAATAATTTTTAAAAGTTAGTTAACAAGGTGTTAAGGTATGACGTCATCTTACTTATGATTTATCACAAGAACCGGTGATTGTAAAGGAACTCTTAGTCAATAGCACAGATCACTTTTTATCAAATTATTAACATCCACCTCAAACTTTTTAAATAGCTTCATCTCATCGTAACGTATAAACATATAATTTACAAAAATTCTCGGAATTGGGGCGTTTTCAATGTGGAGATTCAATCTGGAGTAACTTCACACATTGTTAAAGTTAATCAACAATGGTGCAATGAAAATTCTGTTAGCCAATATTAATTGTATTGAACTAATCAAAATTAGTAAACTTAAAGTTAACAACAGTCGGTGCAACCGGGCCTAAATTATCTAGATTTCAAACCACCTGAATTCAAGCAAACTTAATAAATTAATCTTTAAAAATTTATTAATAAATTTTTAATAAAGTGTATTGGATAAAGCAATACACTGAAACAAAATGAAATTTTAAATACACATGTATCTCAATATATTGAATATGAAGGTTTTGTGGAAAAAATTAGTATACACGATGTCTCTTAAGCAAAGGGAAATATTTAAAAGGGTGATATTAGGCCTCAAGGCCCCAACCTATAAAAATATTTATTTAAAGAATGCTCCAATTTTCGACAGAAAAGAAGGAAATTTTGTTTTTTAAGTATTTGCTTATTTGTTGAATAGGAAGTGCTAGCAAACTAATAAAAAAAAAAAAAAAAAAATTGCTTCACAGCCAACTAGAAATTTTTTATGTCAAATGGAAGTAGGGTTTGTCATTTTAAAATCACATAAGGAGGACATTTGAATGACTGACGACAAAATTATTACATTAAATTATTCTAAAGCTTTAATTTTCTTTCCCTTGGAAGAATAAGCTAAACATTAATGCATAACTATACTTTTCATTTAAGTTAAAGAAATGATTTTTTGAACATGTATTATCTAAAGTAATAATGAAACAGTGTTTTTTACCCAAATCTGTGATCAACTAAATGTATTCTAATCCTAATATTAATGTTTAAAATAAAAGAACATCCTGATTGCTTCAATTATATTCATAAAAATATTAAAGGGACTGAAATCCTGATAAATAAAAAATAAGCAACAAAATCAGTCCACATTTTTATGAGATTATCACAATACACACATGAACACATAGACAGGCACAATAGCCAAAAACGCATTATATTGACTTAAGGCTCTTGAAATAAAAAAAATTTGTTAATAATTGCACATAAAAAATATAACCCAGTTACCAAGTATAAGTATGAAATCAAAAAGGTTAATACCAAAATTATTCTTAAAATGAATAAAACAAAATGTGTAATACCTTTCCTTCCTTGTTGGCTTTTTTCTTCTTATTTTTTCCCTTAGCTTCAAGCTTTTCCTTTCTTTTTTCATCCAGATAAATATTTCTAAAATAAATGTTTAATATTTTAAAATAAAATAATTTTCATTCTTGCAACTTAAAACTTTTAAATTTAAAAGAAAAAAAAGTATGCCGCCAACGATAGTTGAAAATTGATTGTCTTAAGTTTTTTAAACTTCTATCTATTACATTTCTTAAAAAAAAAAAAAGAGAAAAAAACAGTGTTGGCAAAAAAATTGTATGAACAGAAATACAATGTGTTACTATATTTCCCCATCTGTTTTGCTCACATTCCCTCCACTGAGCAAAACAGGGCTTATATAATACATGCTCGTTTAGGGTGAATGCTCAGGTGTAAGGTACTCTTAACTATATGAACGATGTTTTGTGTTTATATCTTTTATTTTAATTTAGTTATACCATATTGTTACTTACTTTATAATTGACCTTTATGTAAAAATAAAGGAGAATCTAACAATAGCATTGTCTCAAACAGTAAGGAGAACCAACAAAAGATTATTCAAACTAATCAAGGACTTTTGTAGGCAAAAATAGTAAGATGTTGGTGTTAAAGATTACAAATATTGCGTATCACATTGTTAACCACCACTGAAAATACAAAATTATTTAAGGAAAGAGATGGTCTACAGTGGTATTCATAAAAAAATATTTAATTTTAGGAGTTGGTAGAGAGGTTGGATCAATATATAACGTAAATATTATGATTGCATTTTATTCCATAAAAAATACTTAAAATAGTTTCCACTGTTTTAAATTTTTGATGACCATTACTCCAGATAATCTGTTTCCTCAATATACACCGGTTCAATATAAGTATTCAGTATTGGTATTCAATAAAGTTATTTGGTTGGAAAAATTAATAAATAAAGATTTCTTGGAAATCTGGATATTTAGAGTGAAAGGACTGAAAATCCAATTAATAGAATTTATAACTTTATATTTTCATTGGTTAACAATGTGATAATAACAAGCAATATTTGTAATCTTTAACACCAAGGGTATACATCAATGTCCTGAATGGCGTGCGCCCATGGGGGGAGGCTAAAGTGCCAATGGAGGGATGATGGAAGGTAGAAGATTGGTGGCTGTTGAATAGACCAAGGGCAGCCGCATTAAATTCTTGTGCTGATAGAGGAGTTTTTTTTTTATAATTTAATTAAATTCTAATCAATGCAACCAGACAGACCAATGCTGTTCAAAATGTTAATTTCTGTTAATTTTATGGAAAATAATGTTCCAGAATAAGGATACAATTTTCGTTTCATTTCAAATAATAAGTAACCACTGGTAACTTAATCAGTAACAGTAATTAATAATAAACAAAAACAAATTTTACAGATTTAGAGCTAAATACAGAATATCAAGAATCATACAGATTAAAGTTGAGTGATATAGCATGTTATTATACTTACTGCCATTTTTTGATTAATTCAGTATCATTATACTTGACAGAATCTAATGAAAGAAAATCTTGGGCTCCTTCAACAGTGGAAAAAATTACAAACACGGATCCCTTAAACTTCCAGGTTTTGGTGGCTTTGTCATTAAAACTTCTCATCTGAGGACATAATACAGATTGAATTATATATAAGCTTTTAAAAATCACAATTTATTTTCATTAGATAGATTAACTATATGCTGACACTTAATATCCTTATACTATACCAAAACATTTTACCTGAATTCATAATGAACTCTGCATCAGCAACAAAAATTAAGATATTTAACAACTAATAATATTTTATTTATGCTTTATATTGTTGTGTAAAATATTGTAGTTTTATTGCAAAATGTTACTAAGGAACATTTCATAATATTAAATTACAAAGAACTACGATTAATTTTTCTTTTGTGAAATATGAAAATTGTGTTTATTGTAACTATATTTGATATATAAAAGGCTATGTATTATTTCGCTACATTGACCATGTGAGTGATTTTATAATAAAATATTAAATATTTTTCATATTATAATTCTTTGCTCATGATGAAATATTAGGCTATGTAGAAATTTATGCTAACATGGTCCATATCATCCATCCAGCCAAAATAAAATGCTGTATAACTTTTTTTGCCATAATATGATACAACACAAAATCTTAAGTTAATTTTAATCTGTGATAATTTAGTATCTAACTCATTCATTTAAATATTTTGAGCTCTTTATTTATTCACCATGATTCAAATAATTTAAATTTACATAACTGAAACAGGATTACGTTACTTTTAAATTAATAGGTAAACCATAATAAATAGGTTTATTATTTTTTTTTTTTAATAATGATAAAGTTAGTTTATTGTAAAAAGTCATCAGGCGACATTTCATAATCTGAAATCACTAAGAATTGTGATTTTTATTGAAAAGTAAGGCCATAATTCACAAAAATTTTCTTAAAAGTTGAGCTTTATAGAAAAATTTACTTATAGCCTTTTTGCAATAAGCCGACAATATTCTTAAAGTATAACCTAATAGTAATACAAATGAGACCTATGTAGCTAAAGGTTCTATACTACCAACACTAATTATCTATGCTTAATGTATATCCATTGAACAATAAATCAAAGTTTTTAAGGTCAAACTAAGTCTTTTATTTTTTTGGAATGAACACAATTTCAGATTTTGGGATTTTATTTGGACTAGTTAGGAGATAAACATATTAAAGGCCTTCATTTCACGGAGGTAAACTAGATGTGGGTAGCCAGCCACCCAGGTCACTTTTTTTGGTTCAACACTTATATCATGGAAACCATGCGTCTAAAAAATAAAGATGAACTGTACTAAATTAAGGCTGATAAATTATCCAACAAGATCAATGATATTTATTCTTTCAATATCCCCTGCATCATTATATATTTTCATTTATAATAAAGTCTTATGAATTTTTTGTTAAAATTATTTAATTTATCATTATATTCTATAGCAGTGAGAAATGGAACTCTAAAAGTGGTTCTACTGTACTCCAGTATGTAGGATCCAGAATCGCATTTAATGACACTAAACAATTTACTTTTAGAGAACTATGGATGTACCTCAACATTAGTTGTAATACATATTACTTTGACCTTTACTCTTCAATTTCTACTTGTAGAGTAAAGGTCAACTTGTAGAGTTGTAAGCGTGCACAATATTTTTTATTTAAAATTAATATAGACATTAATTATTTATTGTTAATTTCTAGAATTCTGATTGTTTTGATGAAAAGCTAATCCCTTTACGGAACAATAAAACTGCGCTTGTACAAGTCATTAATACGACAATCAGTTCTAGCCTATGGCTCCAAAAGTAGGAGTATATCAAAAGCCATTCAGCAGGTCTTACTAAGATACCAATGATGGATTGCAGAATATTTGGACTAGTCCGTGTTAACCAACAGTGGAGAACAAATCGACTCCGCTGTACAGACCATGTGGCTAGAACATCTGAAAGCCAAATTCCGAAGAAATTCCTCTTTAAACAGTTATTCAGAAGATCAGTTGTTGAAGTTACATTACAATTTATTATTATTTCAACATTTTTATTAATTTCTCTGGATTCTTGCCTTAACTCTGGAGGCTTAAAAGCCCATCATTCGTTAATTGTTAACTTCATTATTAAATAGTAGCGACATTCTTAACCTTCAACCGCTCATATTCTCATTTACTTAGTTCTGTGAAGTAGCACTACTTTCTCCAATAAATCCAAATGATTCAAACAAAAAATTTGAATCAGTTCATATATGGATTGTTTGATCCTTAACAAGAGGTTAATAAAAATAACATGAGGACCTCTCTCCCCTTCTCCAATATGTAGATCTATTATTATGCGCCCCTAAGTAGAGTTTTCAAAATACTATTGATTTTATGTTACACTTGCGGATATCGATTTATTGTACCTATTCGGATTTATTAGTCTAGTATTATGCTGTTGTGTGCCTAGATTTTGAAAATGACCTCCATTGTAAGATTATGCCACTGTGTTTCGACTTATTTAAGTTTTTCGGATTTGTTCCATATAAGAGTGTATTCTTGTTTCCGGATCCATAAATTTTGAAAATGTCCTCCAATTTAAGATTACGACACTGCGTTTCGAATGTTTCCGGAGCCGTAGATTTTGAAAATGATCTCCATTTTAAGATTAAGCCACTGCGTTTTGACTTATTTAAGTTTTTCGGATTTATTCGATATAAGGGTGTATTCTTATGTTTCCGAAGCCGTAGATTTTGAAAATGATCTCCATTTTATGATATTCCCACTGCATTTTGACTTATTTAAGTTATTCAAACCATCCAATATAAAGGTCTATTTTTATATTTCCGGAGCCATAGATTTTGAAAATGACCTCCATTTTAAGATTACGTCACTGCGTTTCGACTTATCTAATTTTTTCTAAATTATTCGATGTAAGTATATACTTATATGTTATCGGAAAAGTAGTTTTTGAAAATGACCTCCATTTTAAGATTATGCCAGTGTGTTATGGGTTATAAATGTTTTTTAGACTTATTCGGTATAAGGATCTACTTATATGTTATCGGAGATGTAGTATTTGAAATTTTTCGAATCATAAATATTTAAATTTATCTAATATTTAATCTCCAATGATTGCAATCACTGCATCTTGATTAATTAAGCTTTATTTTGGATGTTTTCAATATGTTTTCAAGTATGAATAAATAAATAAATAAATAAGAAGCTAAGGTTAAATTAACCACAAAACACAAAGTAAAAAGCCGAAAAAGGAGCTAGTAATAAATTTATCCTATCATATTCAGATTTTTCAGCTAATTGTTCGAAATCTTATAATTTTGTAAGAGGAGACCACAACATTAAAAATATAACTAAAATGAAATAAAAAATGAGAAATTGGATATTTTATTTATTTCAATTGAAAAATAAATTAATCCTTCATATTTTTTTTTTATTCGAAGAAAAATCAAAAACACTTAAACAAACCGAAACACAGTGGCATAATCTTAAAATGGAGGTCATTTTCAAAATCTACGGCCCCAGAAACATAAGAATACACCCTTATATCAGATAAATCAGAAAAACTTAAAACAGTCGAAACACAGAGGCCCAATCTTAAAATGGAGGTCATTTACAAAAACTATGGCTCCGGAAACATAAAAGTAGACCCTTGTTTCGAATAAATTAGAAAAACTTAAATAAGTTGAAACGCAGTGGGGTAATCTTAAAATGGAGGTCATTTTCAAAATATACGGCTCTGGAAACATAAGAATACACCTTCATATCGAATAAATCAGAAAAACTTTAATAAGTCGAAATGCAGTGTCGTAATCTTAAAATGGATGCTATTTCCAAAAACAACTCATACAATAACTACCCATACATAAAAAAATTAAATAAATAAAAAAAGGTTGAATTTGAAATGGAAAAGGTTGAATTTTACTTGAAAAAAGTTAAATTTGATTTTGAAAAGGTTGAAATTGACTTAGAGTAAACACATTAATTGTAGGTTTGACTCTATTACTAGAAAATTTCTGAACAAAATAAGACTGAGTAGCTATTAACTTAAGTTAACTATTAAGTTATTAACTTAATGGGTAAAATAATCCTAATATCACAACTGGATAAGAAGTAATTCAAGTTCACATGATCACACTGTTTATCGAATGTTAAAGCAAGCCAAGTTCATCAGTTTTTTGCAATATGAACTAATAATATTTGAAAAAAAAAGCTATAAACCTATATTTACATCACATGTTATAAATCTCAGAAAGTTAAAGATTTATTCCGTGAGCTTAACTAGAAATAGATTTTGTCCTAGGACAAAATCCAAGTTTAGTCAGAACTACTGGTCTTAACTTACAAAATTGAACCACTAAATTAACAAGAATTCATTAGTTACTCACAATAACATTGTCAATATCACCAAACTTAGGGAAGAAATCAAGCAGCTTATGGATGGTAGTGTCTTCTGTTGGAAACCCTTTACAATAAACTGTACGGGACATCAATTCTTTCCTTCGACTTTCATTCATTTCAGGTAATGGCATATTGGGTGATCGACGAATCTTACTATTATCTTCATGAACCTGAAACAAGCATTTATAGTACATACATTCACTATAAGACTTCAATAGAGACCTTCGGCCAAAACAGAAAAAGGGAAAGTGACACATTGAGGTTAAAAAAAGTGACAAAAGATAAACAAAAAAAAAAATGTGAGTGAGTTCACATAATTCATTGCTAATAGTTACAGATTTCCTTAAGTGAATAAGCATCTTCATAAAAATTGAGTTCATAATAAAGTTATAAAAATGTGAAAACTTCCTTAACCATCCTTTAGTTACAGAAATCAACTTACCTCCATCAATTTATTACTTGATTTTAAAATGGCTTTAGTTATAACATCTGGATCTTGAGATAACTGAGAAAGGCGGTTGAATTTAAGCATGATTTCCATAGGAACCCAGCCATCATCAAGCTTAATTTGCTCTTGCAAAAATTTGTCCTTCGCCAAGTTAATGTCACCGAAATAGTACTGAAAAAAAATGTTGTTAATATAATGCGGCATTGTATACATTAAAGCACCGTACCTCGTGGTTCACTTACTTCTACTTGACGAATTATTTTCTTTTCCAAATCAGACACATTCTCTTCATTACTTGGAGTTTTATCAGCACCAACTTCTTCTGCTTCAACCATGGTTAAAAATGTATAGTTGACCACACTAAACACTGTAACAACAACCCACTTCGAAAGAACAACAGAGTCAACACGAACCCAAGCCGAACATCGAAATTCCAAAGAAGTATAACGCTACAGTTAGTGTAGTGCAAATGGTCATATATAATTTTTTTTACATTTTTATTCTCTTTGAGCTAAAGGTGAAATTATGTAGTCTGCAACAAGGCTATAAAGTAGTCTGCTAAATAGAAAAAAATATAGTATATTTGAAGTTATTAAGTATTTATAGTGCTATATTATCAAGTATAAAATTAGTGTGGTCATTAAGTTTTATTTTGAGTTGTAATTATAACGATTTTGCCCTGAATTTTATATCTTATTTATCCTAAACATTATCACAGACAAATTATTCAAATTTCATCAGAACCTCACCACATACATATCGTTCAAAACCTTGCCACTTCAACTTGACATACCAACTGAAGACATGGGAGCGCCTAAGGACTTTATAGATAAATCTATTGAAACAATGACTAAGAGACAGTAAACCTTATACAAGACAGCTTTAATCGAAGTGGAGAAAATTGAGAGAGGAAAATAGGAGCTAACATGTTTTAAGGAACATAGAATCACAGAATCTCAGGAATTATTTGAGGGTAGAAATAGACCTTTTTAACTTTAAGTAAATGCGTTCAGAGACTATGATGGAACTTTGCAGATTGACAAGGAAAGCGTCTGTAACAGATGGAAGAATCATTTCTACACTTTGGTCAAGGGTGGCGATAGACTTGAAAGTTTACTGACGAAATACTTGGAGAGAAACTAGAGCTTCCGGGTGAAGAGATGTTCGACTACCAATGAAGAAATTAAATAACAACTGAGTCTCTGGATCAGATAGTCTTTTTGCGGAACTGTTTAAACACGGGAGTTTGGAACTAGTAGGTGTCTCTGCACAACATGCTTATCGAGACATGACAAAGAGAAGAATTGACAACGGAGAGGTATGGAAACGCTGTATCCGAAATACAAAATAGGATATATGTAATATATCCGATATACAAAATAGAAGATGAACTATAATGTTCTAATTATCGTAGAATATCGCTCTTTCGATCTTCAAGAATTTCATTTGAGACTTTTAGGTTATGCTCGCTATGAAATAAGTTGCTATCAAGCAGGGTTCATGGAAGGGGTTTCTCGCCCAACTGAATTTAAGAGATACAGCAACTGTTGGACATTGTTGTTTGGTATGCCTTTTATTTATTTAACTTTAGCCTGGAATGTGCAGTACGCTAATCAAACATCCAAACCAGATAAACAGTCATCAATAAGTCTTCTATGATCATAGGATTTGCAGACGACATGGATGTGATTGGGAGTAATTTTGGAGTGATGCAGGACGCCTCCCTGTATCTACAAAGAGAAACCGCAAGAATGAAATTTGCGATTTATGAAACGCCCAAATATATACTTGCGAATCCTTTTGGCGGAGGTCAGTGGGACGGTCAAGTGTATATTGGCTAGCAGAATTTTGAGAGAGTCAAAAAATTAATCTATCTTGGAACCCAAGCAAACTCCAGAAACGATATTAACTCAAAAATCCGTCATCAAATCATGGCTATAAATCGGTGCTATTATGGTCTTAAGGCACCTCTAAAGAGCAGATTTGTTTCCAGGACTACCAAGGTGAGTTTATATATGCTCTTACCAGACACGTACTGACATATGGATCGCAATGCTGGATTTTTCGGCCAAACTCAAGATTTGATCACCGAATTCTCCAAAGAGTCTAAAGAGCTGTCTAAAGTGATAGTGGTTGAAGCCAATACATTAATTGAGAATTGATAGCCCTTTTTAATGTCGCCAACATCACCAACATCATTAAGACAAGTAAACTACGGTGGGCGAAACCCGTGGCAAGAATGACTGACGATCAAATCCTGAGGGCCGATGTTGTATAAATGGCTATGGACAGAGATGGGTCGGCTGACTGAGGCTGCGCTGGGCTGATGATGCTCAATCCGTCCTTGGCATAAGTAATTAGAGAGAAACAACTCAACATAGAGATGACTAGTGGAGTTTAGCGCCAGTTAAGAAGAAGAAGAATAGATTTTCGGATAATTTAGGAGATATGATAATTTCAAGACAGGTTTTGATAAAAATTCCTCTAAGGTTTAACGGAAGTGCAGAAGCTAAGAGACAGACCTTTAAGATAGAGCAGAAATCTCCAAACTAAGGCGCGCCAGCACTTCCAGTCCGCCTCGCGAAAGATTCTTAGATTACATGGTAAAGTTTTAAAAATATGGAATTTAGCAAATTACTCATACAGAAGGTTATTATAATATTTATTGCATGAGTTTCCCCCCCCCTCTTAGAATGCTCATTTCACAACTGAAGTGTCATTACCAGAACAAGATTTTCATCACAAGCTGTGGCCCTTGAAAGTGTATGGAGGTCTCAATGCGTGATTTAATGCAGGTCTCAATATAGCCCGCGGACCAAAAAGTTTAGAAAACTCTGAGGTAGAGTAAGGGATAATAAGAACGGGAATTATGATGCTTGAAATCAATAGGATGGTTTTGGTTTTCTCAACGTTCAACTTCAAATAATTAAGCCCACGTGTTTCTTCTACTTTCAATATCTTCTTACAGTCTTCGAATCGCTTCTAGCATCTGGATAGGATGAAAGAAATAGTAGATATGGAGGTTCATAGCACATACACTTCCCAAAAAAAAGTTTCCATACAGTTAGTTTTACTTTAACATTGAAAATAATATATTAATTATATTATTTTTATCAATCAGGAAAGGTAGTAGAGGCAAAGGTGTATCAACATGATAAATCACTAATTCCATAGCAGGAAGAGATATAACTTTAATCTGAATGTCAAAAAAAAAAATCCTTATATCTATAATATCATAATTCTATTTCTATTTAATGCCATTATTTCTCTTAAATTTATTATCTGATTTATTAACATTTAAGGTTTAGTTAAGGTTCAGGCTATTTCGAATAATCATTATGCGTTTAAATTATATTTTCGTTAAATATTATATTAAATTATATTAGAGAAATCAATTATATTTTCTCCGAAAAATTGGAACTTTACTAAATAAATCACATGTAAGTGTGCAGTACATGGTAAACAATCCTTTTATATGAATTAAAATCGTTGGAGGACATACCTCGTTGAGGTCGCCCCAGAAAATCGGATAGAATTCATAGGACTGCAATATCCTTAGCCAGTGGGCTTGAAAGAGATTATGAGGTATGCGTAAAGCCAGAAACTGTCAGGAATGTTCTGAGAAAGAAGAGTTTTCATGGAATAAGAAGAAGAGGTTGGCGGCTATAAGCCAAAAATTTATATATCTCAATATATAACCAGAAAGTAAAATATGTCAATTCTATTTCTATTCAGTGCCATTATTTCGCTCAAATCTATTATCTAAACGCTAACTACATTCAAGTTTTAGTTAACATAAATCCTACTTCAAATCATCATTATGTTAATTGAATCCCATTCTGCCAATAGCTACTTTGAGATCTTCTTCAATTCAAACACCATGATTTTTCAACCACCATACTAATTCATCTCACAAATGTTCTATTGGGTTCATGTTTGATAATTGGAGAGGATTTGTTTGGCTTTTTTCATGCAATTTGTTTCTGGAAACCTTTCTTTCTCAGAACATTCCTGACAGTTTCTAGCTTTACGAATACCTCGTAACCTCTTTCAAGCCCACTGGCTAAAGATGTTGCACTTATACAGGGATTACCCGCATCTGGTTCAGAATAGAACTTTGTAAAAAAAAACGTATTTATATGTAAAATATTTTATTGTCTTATTAATTTTAAAAATTGTAAAAACAATACTAACATTTAACTAGCGATAAAAAATAAAAGGTACGATGTATTAGAGCTAACGGACGGGGGGCCTTTCTCTGTCAAAGGAAGAATTGTGAATAAATGTAATTTTGCTAATCATTGTTTGTTCTAATGTTAATTAGTGGGTTGCATCTGTTAGCCCAGTGAACTATGCATTTAATGTGGAATGTATTGATTATTTATTTTTGTAAACAACTTTATTCCGTTTCTGATATTTTTAATATAAGTGTTCATGAACTATAATTAAATAAAAATAAACGGAGTTTGGACTAAGAGATTTCAGGCCCTAATTAAAACAAATTGATACTAGCCTTACCTCTCACTGAGGGCAGGTTTCCCCACAAAAGCTCCTGGGATCTCTGTCTGACAGTTTGATATCAGACCGTTGTGTTCTAAGATCACTATAAATAAAGAAAAGGGACATGTCTGTAAGAATTGCAGCATTCCAATTTGTATCCTCACCTAGGCATTCGTTGCACCATGATCTGTGGAGTTGCTGACAACACTGTCCCTGCAGGTCATCTTAAAGGGGCATAAGATGTTGGACCAACTTCCCACAAAAGATTATGAACAGTTTGTGTTAGTGGAGGCCTTGGCAGAACATTCAATACTTCATTAATTCTCTATCGGTCACTATGAAAAGGGTTGCTTCTTGCAGTGATTCAATATTTCTGTCATTCCTTTGTGCCATTAAGTGCTGAAATCCACTAACAGATCTCCTATCGGTACTTGGATTTTTTCTGAATCTGGTTAAAGTCTAAGAGATGCCAACTGCATAGGCAATAACCAGTTGCCGGTGCCCTTGATTGCTGATTCTCATGGTAATATTGCTAACTTCTGGTTCAATATGATGCCTTTCCTTTGTTAAACAGAATATTACTGGATTAAAATTGAGATAAGTCGAAAACAACTGTTGGTTTATACAAAAGGAGTATTCTTCATTTTGACTATCTTTTAGTTAATAGCTTATTAAAATTAAAAAATACTTGTTTATTAATAAAAAAGGAGAATCCCAACAAAAAAAAAAGTCCATTAATTAAAACAAATAAAACAAACAACAAATAGAAATATCCCTATTCATTTTTGCGCAGTATATATAAATACAGTGGCGTTTTCGTTCAGCATTCAGACTAAAAATATTTCATGGCACTTAATTATTTATTGTATGTTTTTTGGCTTTAAGACTTGTAAAAGCAAGCCCTATTTTGCCAGCAAAATATTTTATTTGTCATAGTGAGATGAAATTACGGTTTTTAGACGGAATTTACACTGGATTTATAATAATTATTTATAGTTAGATGATAACTGAAAGTGACTTAAATGGGACTTGGATATTAGATATTATGGAAACTAGCAAGACTAATGGTTAAAAACTGAGATGAATTAGAATTACAATTAACTGATAATAAGTGCCGACTTTTATTATATGACTGCTTTGATGTCATTCATGAACTTTAACAAGTCAGGGGCGTTATCTTTGTTCATCGACTGAAGAAAGTTAGCTCCATCATCCATAGTTTGCGACCCTAATCTAATTTTTCTTCACTTTTTATTATAATTAAAATATACAGACATAAAAGGTTTGAAAAAACACACAAAAAAAAACATACATTTAATACATTAGATATGAAGAACACAATAATTGTTTTAAATAATCTTGCACCATCTGTAAATTATACCTTTACTTCCTTTTTTCTGAAAATACCTATTACTAAAAGTTGTGTGATGACTCACCACACCAGATTTTAATAATACGTAAAACTATTAAATAACAAAGATGTATGAACTCTTTTAAAAATATTATTTCTGATAATGACAAATCTATAATGTAAAACATTTGAAATGCCATTAGTATACTTCCACAAGTATATTTACATTATAAGCCTATTAGGAATATAATGATTCTGAATCTTGACAGTAAATTATCTCACAATTCCTCTAGCTTGGAACATTACCTACCTTTCTCGGGTCTGTGAGACATATAGTTTTGTAGAAGGATAATACCTTCCCTTTCTGGAGCATAACCTGATGCCAAGTTTTTATATCTTAAAAAATATGACCTCTTTATTGAATCATCATTTGATTTCTATTTAATCTTACTTCAACCCACCCTACCTAAAAAGTAGTAATGCTCCACAGTACTCAGAATTTTGTGAGAGCTGCTAATTGTAAACAGTTATAATAAAATTATAATGAATAGAAGGGAATAGAAAAAGAGACAGAAAAACTGATAAATTGAATTTTTATTAAAAAAAAAAAAAAAAAATCAACGATCTGTTTTATACTTGATACAAGTTAGGTCTGTCCTCATTGGAATGTTACTTCACATGGCTTTTTGGGTTAAAAAAAAAACAAAACAAATTTATCATTGCTATACTCCTAATATTTAAAGCTTTGAGTGAAGCCACTTATATCACAATTATTTGAGTAATTGAATTTGTTTTTTTGATTGAAGTAACAATTAAGAAAATTTAAATGACAGTTAATGGAATAGATATGTAATACCTTGGTGAATCACAACCAATTGGACATGTATCATCGTCTAAAAGAAAACATTTTTAGACATAAAAGTTAAAATAAATAAGCTGATGAAATACGTCTTTATAAATTTATTGACATGTCATCGAAGATCATATAAGTGAATACATCAAATTCATAGAGATATTGATAAATTCCTAACTTAAATTAAATATTTGCAGTTGGAAACAGTTGTTAAAATATTTGACTAGATCAAAGAAAAAATACAGCCAATCATAGATAATTTAACAACATTTTATCATATTATTTTTTAATGAACTTCATATTTTTCATTATATTTTAACAATTAGGAAAGCACCAATAATTTATGATCATTGCATACTACACTTCAGGTATCTTGGTAGAGGTAGAAGAAAAAGATATTTTTGCTGCCGTGGAAAATTCATCTACAGATTTCCTTGCATGGGATGTAATACCACCAATTGATCTTTTTAATCCATCTGCAGCATTTGCTTTAATTTCCATTACATCTGTATTTATTTTGTCTATCACCCATTCAATAGCCTGCCGACCCTAAACAAAAAAAAATATAACATAAGAAAAAAAGAGCATCATCACTTGTACATAAGTGGATTATACCCTGACTTATGTCTGTCAATCATAATAGCCTTAATTTTTAACACAATATTATAAATTAACCACTAAAAAGTTATTGTGAGTTAGAATTATTTCCGATCAACACATATGAAAAAAATTAAATAAATAATTAGTGTATTAAATAACTATAACAAATTCATAATAAAATATCAATTTATTTTAGCAGCAATGCATTAGCAGAGCAATTATCAAAATTTCAACAAATAATACGGTTAAATTTATTTTTTCAAGCAAGAATTAATTATTTATAGTTATATACTATAGTTTGTTCAGTATCATTAAATAAAGCAGCACAATTGAGTTTTTAATATTTTTATATATCATTCACATGTTTTTCGCAATACAAAAAATAGAAGTAAACATCATTAAAAAATTGCATTTTTTTTTCCATTGTACACTAATGATAAACATAAATAGTAATAAATATTTAATTGATTACATAATAGGCATGATAAATATTGTGTTCCTAATGTCTTTAATGTGTAGTTGCTTGACACCAATTGAAGTGGCAAGTGCGGTTCTGACTTTGTAACGCCAAGCAGATGATCATTTAGGCCCACGAAACCTATTTTTATTTACCTGTAATTCCTCCAATTGAGGAACATATTATAACAAAGAAATTCCTAAAAAGTTAATAAGAGATGAAACAAAGGGTAGACGTCCTAGTGGAGGACCAAAATGAAGGCAGGCAGATTGTGATAAGGTTGACCAAATAGATTTTGGGTCAAACAATAATTGATACCATCGGTATAACAAAAAATGTGAGCCATTTTTATTTTTCCTGTTACAAAATAAAGATTTAAAATTATAATTATAGATTCTAGACAAATTTTAGACCAACCCTTCCTTGTAGGAAAACTAACTATATAGTTTCACAACTTAAATGCCTTAATGATATGATTATCATAAAGTTAATCAATAATGTACCTTATTTGCATTTAACATAATAGTTGAAGTAAGAAGGTCTTCCATATAGCTGTTGAGTGGAACACCTTGCACAGTAATGACAGCTTCTTGTTTCAAAAGAGTTTTACCAGCTTCTTCAGGGTGTGGTTCATATTTAACTAACTCATCGACTGCAACAAACTTACCAAATGTAACCTAAAAAGTAAAAGACAATTCAGCGAAATGTATTGCTGGAAAAATCATAAATATATGTTCATACATAACAGAAATAATAATTAAATGTTCTAAAGATCAATGTCAGTCATCAATAATTAATAATCCGTAGATCCTATGTAATCCTATATAAACCACTTTCCTTACCCTATTGGATACTATGCCCAGAACAAAAATAGTGTGCAGTATGTTTGCTAATAGCGGTTCTAATATTGATTTTTTTTTTAAATTTACTTTTTATCTCCTTAATTTAATTTATTCTATACTATATTCTTCTACCATTTTTATCTTTATTTTATACTATATCACATTATACTTCCTCTTTACTTTTAATTCTTTTCGTTTCCTTACATCACGTGTGTCACATAGATTATTAATACTCCATTATTATTTAATATTTATTATCTCTACATTATACCTTAATTGCTTTATAAATAGATTAACTCACTTTCAGTTTTCTTTTTCTTTAATCTCATTAAAGAAATTCATTTTTGTCTTCTTTGATCTCACGTTTCACGCAGATCAAGTTTCCTCCATTATTACTTAACATTTATTTAATTTTTATTATCTCTGGTTTATACTATCTCCGGATTATTTCCATCCTCTTTCAATTAAACTTTCATTTAATAATTTATAATATTTATCTATAATATATCTTTTGTCCATTATATACACTTCCGGTACTTTAGTTCAAAAATCTCTCAGTCAACCGTCAGAGATGACTCAACAATACAGCTCTCCCCTCTCTTGCTACGATACTTCCATTCTCTGCAAGCGATTGCTTTGATCAGGTTGTTTATCTATCTTATCTTAGTTTTCTCCTTATTTTCTCTTTTCCGTCACTATTTTTCATATCTGCATCTTCACTTTGTATATATTGATACATTCGATCATTTATTTTTACTTTATTTTAAGTCTTTATTCTCTTATATGTAGTCAGTATATTTTGAATGACTTTACAATATCTAAATTTTCTATTTAAACTATTATATTTACAATATCTCAATTTTTCTATCTCTATTTATTTCTTATATTACTTCATATTCTTTTTCTCTGTTTTACATTTTATTCTAAGATTACCATTTTTAGCTGTTATGTTACCTAATTTGATTATGTTTACTTCATTAGTCCGGACTTTTGAGCCATTATTATTATTATTTATTTACCTACATTTTTTTACTTAAGATATTTTTTTACCTACATTGTTTATGTTTCTCATACCTATTGTTATCTGGTTCTTTTCTCAGACCTGACGAAGGCCTGAACTTCGGGTCGAAACGTCAGCAAATGTGAAAATAAATATTATTTATTTTTGCCATTTTTATTTTGATTGATCACCCCAACCATACTTCTTTTTATTATGATCCTGGCCCCACTTAATGGTGGCAGAAAAGGAAGAAAAAACACTAAATATTGGGTTAAAAAATCATTTCAGTGTGAAATAACTTGGGCTAGAAACTTTAAACATAAATTTATTGTAATCCATAAAAAAAAAAAAAAAGTATATGAATAGCTAAGCTAAATAATTTTCTACATTCAAAACTAAAAAAATTAATAAGTGACAAAATATTGTAATTGTGTTTGGGATAATTTAAAATATCAACTATGAAAAAAATAATTTAAAAAAGATGCATCAAACATTGTCGGAATAAGTTACTTATTGAGTTATAACTATAAATAGATAATCAGTAATCAGGAAGAATAATAAACATATGCAAATACAGTTAGAAATTACAATAATTAGAAAACCTTCTAATTCACTGTATAAAACAAAACATTTGCTTAACATTAAATTTATTTTTATTAAAAAAATAAATAAATTAATTGTATTTATTTATTAAATATACATTAGCAATACAGACTGTATTAATTTCAATTAATGGATACTTTCAGATAGGATAGAATACAACCAGCAGCAGCTATAAAATTTAAGAAGTTTTTAAACTATGTTTTGAAAAGTTACTAAATCATTAACTTACATTCGTGGTTTTCAATGTCATCGACTTCGTTTTTGGATTTACAATGGAATGCTCACTGGCATAACAAATATTTGCAGGTCCTATTAACTGAAAACAAATCATAAAATCTATTAGTTTAAGTAACAAACCAACAAAAATGATCCTTAAACTATTATTATTTAGTTCATGCAAAAATCCCTGAGGTCATTCCGTGGCTACATAATAAATGATATTAGATCTTAAAAAATTTGGTATGCTTTATTGTTTATTATAGATATATTTATGCCTTAAACTTTATTGTTCCTCTTTCACTAATTTATTTATAATTTCTTTAGGCTTTAACAAAATTGATGTTTTGATATTCTCGAAGCACATGAAAAAACTTGTTTAGTTTAAATGATGTATTTTTATACATACAAAGGTAAAATGTCAGATGTTATTATGTTATAGAATAGCAAAATTATATTTTTAATTACGAAAAATTGAATAATGTCTTAGTAAAGCCTATGATTGAAAAATTCATATTAATCTTTTTTTTTTAGATACCTTTTTAAATGTATCATATACTTGGCAAACTATCACAAATTGTGAAAGAAAAGGAAATTTTTTTTTATTACATAAAAAAAATATATATATGGGTATATATACATATTACCATAACACCTTTATATATATATATATATATATATATATATATTTAATTCATACAATAATAATTGATTTTTATCTGAAATTAGCATAGTTGTTTTTATATGGGCTGAAATTTTTATATTATGTGGTTGTTAAGTATCAATAGTCTAATTTTTTTTTCATTACATTACCAAAGTTCTAAAAAAAAAAAAAGCAACCTTCAAAACAATAAAAATTGTTTGTCATGGCTTTAAGTCTAAAAAAACAACTACAAAATGCAGCTTTAAAACAGAACTAAATAAAAATTTAAAAAAAATAATATAATAATAACATTAATACCAAATCAAACTTTATTAATATTATTAAGTTATTATTTTTCTTCTGTTTGTTTTATCTTTTTTGTATAAATAGTATTAATGCGGTGTTAACCCTCTATAATTATTGTCTAAGTGACAGAATATTATATCACTACTAATTAAAAAAAAAAAAAAAAAAAAAAAAAAAAAAAAATCGAATGATGCGTACAGTCAGAATTACAAAATTCCATTACAGATTGATTTATTTAAACATAAGCTCTAAAGTTCAATAATAAAATTAAGGATCTATAATCAGAAGCAGATAAAGGGTCTGATGCAAGAAATGAATCAAAAGTATTTCGCAATATTTCAAAGTACATGAAAATGATACTTTGTCCTGTTTAAAGGAAGCAGGTGTGCATTACATAAACCGCATAGATTAAATTTGTAAAATAATCACTTATCTTATTATATTAGAAGAAAATGGTAATATTAATGTTCACATTTTCCAGTACATTTAACAATGATCAGACTAGCTGTAATTAATAAATTCAGTACCTCTCTTTTAAGTTAAATAAATATTACAATTAGAATCTCTCAAAAAGGAATCAAAAAATGACCTTTGGCAAGGTAGACTAGTTTAAAAGCAGCATATAAAGTAGTGCCAGTGACACTGAACTTTCAGGAAGTTTAAGGCTAAGTGATAACTACTTATGAACCTATCACTACTGATATTTTTTTAATTTGATTTGAAAATGACTTAGCAACTATCACTACACCAACATGTATTCATTATTATGACATGTAATATGATCAACTGCAAATATAAAAAAAATCTAGAAAATATCAATATAAAAAAATAAAAATAAAAAATAAGAGTAGAATAAGAAAATGGGAAAAAATGAATTGACAGGGCAATCAGTAAAAATGAATAACAACCACAAAATTAAAAAGATTATATGCAAAAATGAATAACTGTCACAAAATTAATAAGACAATAAGCAAAAATGAATAACTTGCACAAAATTAAGAAGTCGATCAGTAAAAATGAATAACTAATCCAAAATTAATAAGACATTTAGGACTCGGCAAAAATTAAATACAGCTGACTTGACACTTAGAAGAAACATTATTTATTTTTTTTACACATGCATAAACTCACCGTTTGGACCCACTTGGGAAGCCCCCATTTTGAACTAACTAGCCGATGGGTATGGAGATTTCCATCAATTACTTTCCGATCAACTACATCTGTTCCTAGGACAGCTGGGTTCATAGGATTAGGGTATTTTCTCCAAGCAGCTTGAGCTACAGTCTCCCATGGGTGACTAAAATAGAGAACATAATATTACTAAAGCATAATCTTACATTAAATGAACTAATTTGCACACTAAGGCAAGTTAACACACATTGTATCAACTCTTATATAATGGTAAAAAGTATTATTCAATGAAAAGTTCATGATTAAAATAACAACGGATCAACTTTTTCAAAACCCACTTAAGGCAAGGTAATGCAAGAAACCAGTGGTCACAATCAATACTCCCCTTAAGAAATGTTAATATAAGAACGATAAATTAATTACAAAAATAGTTGTTTAAAAGAGCAATTTAATTTTTTCTGATGGGTTTACAAACCTAGTAGACCTTTTGCCTGCCATAACCAGCTTTCTTCACCTTTGCTTATTGCTTCAAATGAACAATAAAATAACTCAATAAATGAATGTTGTTTAATTTTACTGGTTATTTTTTTAAATGTTATTTTTACACCATTATTATGACACAATGTCGCAACTTCTATGTATATATGTTTAAAACTAATTCTAGTAGATTTCTTTCTTAGAATGAAGGTCACAATATGTTCTGCCAACTTTATATAACAACTATTAGCGAAATATATATCAGAAAACGTTAATTAAAACTAAATAGAAGTCATTGGCCATAGATTGATGGAACTGACCTTCAATCGAATCAAAGATGTAATCTAGTTTTTGAAGACTTACCAAGAGCCACTAAATAAGTTATTATTCTTTAGTACAATATAATAAATTACAACTTAAAATAATCAAAATAAAGAATCTAGTAGGATGGTAAGTTAAGCTCACTTGAAAGTATATTCAGAAGTCCAGATTTTCATTTAAGATGTGATGCCTTTAAATATTATATCTAGAGGAAATATTAACAAACAAGCAAGATCTCACTGATATCTAAATTGTTAACAATGCATTTCAAAACAATACTACGAGGATTCGGCAGGAATGGCAATCGGCCATTGAAGAAAGATCGATCGTGCAGCCCTCTACAGGCATGTGCGAACTTTGGCTAAGTTCCTTAATTCAGCAGTAATTCCATCGAAGGTATTAGTCAATTGATTGAATTCAGCACCGATGGACAGCGATTTATGCTGTTTAAGAACAACTTACTAGATTCTAGTGGAAAGTTAACACTCGTGAAAGGTTACAAAACATGTAAAATAAAAACTTTATATGGAAATATTTATAAAAAAAAACAAATTATACAGATAAAAGGGTATGTAAAATAAGTTGATCAGTTACAACACTGAGGTTATAATCCAGCGGAACTATCGACCCCAAAAACCGAAACAACCACTTGGATATCGGTGATTCAATCGATGAATATATATACACGATTCATTTCGTTTATGGATCCATCGAAGAGTTTAGGAACGGTCTGATGGATTTTTGACGATCAATGAGCTCAGCGCTAGGTTTAGGAACTTACCGGTTATCAACCTTCATACAATTTTGAATTAAGGTAGATGAATAATATTTATTTTTATCATTGCTCCTTGAAGTGAACTAAATTGTATTGATACTTGAACATAATTTAAATATACATAAACTATAGAATTTTATCTATAGTTTGAGTATATTTGAAAGTGTGTTTAGAAAAAAAAACATGTACCACAACCCATGGAGGGTCTTGAGTTCAGTACTATTTAGGGAAAGTACTGTTTCAAGGTCTACGGTTGTGCAGGGCGAAGATCGGACCAGAATCACGCTCAACCGCCAAGTTTTCTCCTTAATCAATTATTTAATTGAGGGTACCCACTTTATAGAGGCTGGGTGTGCCCCAAGGAGTTTTCATACCCCAGGGTCGCCCCACGCCAGTGAAACAGAATAAATAATTTTTAAAGGAAGGAGATGGTCCGGGGTGGCGGTCATAAATAGGCTAAATAGTGGCAAAACTATTTTATTTATTTAGCCACTATTTAGCCTATTTATGACCGCCACCTCTGACCATCTCCTTCCTTTATAATGCAACGGTCAACTATTAAAAATTCAATAAATAATTTTTCTGCCATGAGCCGAGAACCTGGGACCTTGAGCACTGGAAGCTTAATGCCCTACCACTAAGCTACCCCGCTCCCGAAGGTGTGTTTAGATATTTCATAAACTTTGTGAAACACAATTATCTAACTTAACGACATTATTGCTTAACCAAATTATTTGTTTTGTTTCTATTGATACCGACAGCAGATGGAAAATATCAAGAATAATAAACTAGCATAGTCAAATAACCATTTATATATATGTTTGTCCAATAGTTTGTGAAATGTCTAAATGCATCTTCATCAGATTTTTAACAATAATGAATATATAAATGATAAAATAAATTTTTCTAGCACAAACTTGTAAAACATAAATCTAAGCTAGTTATTGGCATTACTTTTTAAAAATACTTATTTTTTTCACAAGTGTCAATGTAAGGATGAAATTAGTAATATTTATATAACGTTTCGATATTTTCCAAATAATAGTTCGATATATCAACAAATAACGATATTGTGCTATACCATTCCTCTATGATTTTAATCTATATACGAAATGAGAAGGAAAAAACAGTACATTGAATCAAAGGATGCAGGTTTACAGTAATGATCCGTAATAGGATATATTAAATATTTATAAATTGATGAAGTGACTTTTACTTACTAAAATTTAAGTTTACTAAAATGAAATTAAGATATTTTCATTGCCTGCCATGGATAGGTGGAAAGTTGCCACGCTAATTGTAAGTGGATAATGTTATGATTTCACAATGAGAAAATTCATCAAATCTTTCACTAATTTAATTTTCTAAAAGTTTACTTGATGATTTTTTGGAATAAACGGCCAATAGATACCTAATTATTTAAATATAATATCAAATCTCTAAAGTTATTAAACTACAGTAAATGTATTAAAGGTTATAAACATATACATGAAATATTTTTATATTTCATTTCTTCTTTCATACAAGTACAATGAAATAGTATTTTAAATAATGTCATTGGTTATTCCGTGGGTTTTAAATACTTTTTCAAACTTTAAAAAAATGTTAAAAGATTTCATTCAGTAAAAAAATGTTAATTTCCTTGAGAATATGTTATTATTTATATTTTTTTCGCCACTCTTCGTTACCTTCTACAATTTTCTATATTAGATGCTCCTTTTCTAAAATTCTTCGCTTTCCAACTATATATTATAAGTATAATTTTCTTTTTTTTTTCTTTTTTCTCCTTCTCCCTGCCTTGCCTTATAGGCAATACGGGTTTTAGCAGTAGTATGCGTATTCCACTGCTGGCAGTATAGGTCTATTTAATTAAATTAAAATTTTTGTTAACATTATTACTAATGAGGTGTAGACTTCTTTATGTGCACAAGCCCACAAACTCCACACTTCTTTTCTTTTCTCCATTCTTCCACATAAGGCCGGTCCTCGAAGTAGCTGAAGCTTATCTTAGCTTCGTTCTCTTCTTCCCAGATTAAAATGTGTAGGGCCTACTGCATTCCACCCTTATATGAACTCCAAATAATGTAAGAAATTATCCCTGCTCATTAGCTGGGGGAGCATGCTCTCTGTCAGTGCATATATCCCCGTATCTCTCAGGAGCTTAGCTCTTAGTGCCCCATAGGCTGTACATTCAACGACCACATGTTCGGCGGTCTCCGGAACGTTGCAGTTGGGGCATAGCGGATCAATATTATTCTCGTGTTTAACGAGGTTCGCTCGGAAGTCCCCATGTCCCGTAAGGAGTTGGGATATCCAGTAATCCGGGAGGACCCATCTTGCATCTAATCGTGACTTGACCGTGGGAAAGTAATCTCTTAAGGTAGTACCCTTCGGACTTGCCATCCATCGCCGGTTCCATTGATCAATTGCGTCCTCCTTGATAATTCTTTTCCATCTTCTTGGGTCTTCTTCAATTCTCATCTTTAGATCGGTAGATCCTCCGAACATTCTCTTTTCATTTTAAAGAGGTAATAGTCTTCTCGCAGGAGGAGATCGAGAGGTGTTCCCCCTCCCAGTACTTGTACTGCCTCATTAGATATCGTTCTATAGGCTCTAGTAACCCGAAGTAAAGCCAATCTGTGAATCGATGCTGGCCTACTCTTCTGTCGGTGCGAGAGATTTAGGTTTCAGGCTGGGGACGCATATCTCAGAATACCCAAAACTACTCCTTTTTATATAGTCATTGTATCTGAGACCCCAGAAGACGCCTCCGACACAACTGAGTCCATTTAGCGCCACTATGATTCTAGTTCTCATCTAGTTCAGGTTAGGAGTCACATTGAACTTTCGACCAATTTTAATGCCAAGGTAGGTGACAACCTCACTTGGACGTATCCTTTCTTTATCTATACTCAAAATAATATGATGTGCCCAGTCAGTCAAACCCCTCAAGAGAATTGCCTGGGTCTTTGTTGCAGCCATCTTTAACTTCTTCCTCTCGCATCATCTTCCTACCAAACTGGCGCATCGTTCAGCCTCCGCTTTCAGACCGGCTATGCTGTTTGAGGCCACCACGGCGGCCAAATCGTCAACATAAGCCGTGGCAGGGAACCGCTCCTCTTCGAGCTTCTCCAGCAACTCGTCAAAGATTAGCTTCCACAAGGCAGGACGCAGAACAGATCCCTGCGGGCAGCTCCTCTCGACGTTGTCTTCCACTTCAAAGAATCTGCCCCTAATTTTCAATGTCCGGTCCTAGAGGTAGGTTCTCACTAGTTCATACAGGTTACTGAAAGTTTCATACTTCTGGAGTTGCTGGAGAACACTCGGTCACCACACGCTGTCAAATGCAGAGAGAATGTTGAAAAGGAGAAGCACAACATATCTCTTCCTCTTCCTGACTCTTCCTGGATGAATTCATCCCATGATCTTCGTTTCTGTGAGCGCACCTCATTCCGGTATACTTTGCCTTAGACCTGTACTCCTCACAAAGTGTAGCACGCCTCTCTTCGTTACTACACCTCTAATATGACCACCGGACCTTGTAGAGCTCTCTCTTCAGTGTGGTTAAGGCCGGCGACCACCATGGAACACTTCGTTCTCTCGCTTTGCTGTGCTGGAGGGATTCTTCCGCGGCATCCCTGATGACTTCGGTAATCCTGGATATCTTGTAATCTAGGTCATCCGTATTGCTAAAATCCGCGGGATCCCACTCTTCATCTACTAGCTTTTCCTCCAGCGCTGACCCGAAGAAGCTCCACTCTTCTCTCTTCTCTACATATCCTCTGTCTCTACGTGGGAGGATCTCCCACTTAGAGACAGAGGATATCTAGAGAAGAGAGAAGACTGGAGCTTCTTCGGGTCAGCGCTGGAGGGAAAGCTAGTAGATGAAGAGTGGGACTCCGCGGGTTCTTCGCGCAATCTCTTGGGTTCTCTTGATGTGTGCTAGACAGTTTCGGTCTCGTGCCTTGTGTTTGGTCAGGTTTGATGGAGCTCCTTCACGATAGCAATTTGCACAAGTCGGGTCTACTCTTTCCTTCTTCCTTGGGCACACCTTTCCTATGTGGCCGCTAGCCGCTCACCATCTACAAATCTTGTCCCCGAGAGTACATGACGCTTTAGTGTGGCTATACACCAAGCATTTTGAGCAGGAAGATGCATCCACGAAATCCCTGAATGTCATCGCCCACTATCCGCCATCGATGGTTCCCACTTCCAATAGGTGGAATCGGATGACTGGGTGGGCCTCAACAATCCAGTTCCTTGTTAAGCCGTCTCTGGCCTCCAATGAAAAACGTGCTTGGATGCACTCTTTGATGTTCAGTTGGGGGTTAAATTGATCTCCAGATATTTCTTTCAAGATCAGCGGAGGAACGGGGAACCCCTTTCACCTCTAGTCTGGGCTTTCTTTTCAAGACCATCAAATTCTTCCAAAAGTTATATTTAGCATTTTTTTTTTGTTACTTTTAATAATGAGATATGGTTAATTATTTAAAATGGACCATATTAAAGGTACTTTAGAGAAAGAGATGTTAATGTTGGTATTTCACAATGGGAAAATTCATCAAATTATTCACTAATTTAATTTTCTAAAAAGTTACATGACAATTTTTCGGAATAAACGTTGATACCTAATTATTTAAATATAATATCAGATCTATAATCACTAAAATACAGTAAATTTATTTATGGTTATGAACATATGCTTTATACATCTATGAAATGATTTTATATTTGACTTCTTCCTTCCACAAATACAATGAAATAGTTTTTTTAGCAGTGCATGCCTTGATTTTAAATACTTTCTAAAAACGTAAAAATATTTTTTGAAGTTTACATTTAGTTAGTAAATTTAATTTAATTTCCTTGAAAACATGTGATTTACGTTAAATATTATCAGTACAAAAATTATTACTTATAATTTTTTGCCTCTCACTGTTACCTTCTACAACTTTCTATATTAGAAATTGTTTTTGTTTTTTTTTTCTGAAATTCTCCGCTTTCCAACGATATATTATATGTATACCTTTTGACTATTATTT